AGGCCTTGTGTAATTTAAAATCTATTACACTTCATTTTTAAATGAAATGGAAATATAAGGAATCACTGTTAAGTTAGTAGAGTTTTCCAAGAACATCAACAATAGTTGGAAACATGGGATAATTTATGCAAAATGGGTTTCTATCATTACGCATATTATCCCACGTTTCCAACTATTGTTGATGTTCTGGCATACTGTACTAACTAGACAGTCATTCCTTGAATCAAGACAAACAAGCTAATTCAGAAAATTTGTATCCCCCGCTTAAGGAAAAAGTAAAACATGCGCAGTTTTGGGGGAGGGGGGGGGGGGGGGGGGGGGAGTCGGGTCCCCCTCACTGAATTTGTAGAATTATTAAATGTATACATGCATGTATACTGAATCAAATAAAATATACCATTATGGATATAAAGATTTAATTGCTTATTCTTTATTATGTGTATAGAAGATTCTTTTTATATGGAATATTTATCACACTGTAATGATGAATTTTTAAGTTTGTACAAGCCAGACCTCGTAAATTTTTCATTTCGCGTGCTGAATACTATTATTTAGTTAAAAAAAAGTAATTCTTTAAAAAAAAAAAGTGGTCCATCCGGGACTTGAACCCGGGACCTCTCACATGGGAAGCGAGAAACAATCCACCAGACCACGGAATCGCTTTACATAGAATCAAGTATATGCAGAAGTGAAGTCACATACATGTATATATTCATGTTCGGTACTGTCAAAATTTTACACAATCCATGGCGTTTGATTTATTTAGCCTTTATTAAACAGTTCTAATAGATGTAATAGGAACATAAAGTCCACCGAGAACGTGTTTTATACGCAATAAATCTCCTCATGCCCCTGTGCTAAAAATAGCGATATGTAATACTATAAATACTAATAAAACAAACGGGACGGGGCACGTTGAGAGGGGTGACAGAGGTCCTAGGGAGTTTTGGTATAAAATTACATTGCATAAGCTCAAAATCTTCTTGAAATATCGCCCGGAAATGATAGTGTTACACACAGACAGAATGTATAAATTTACGACCTTGAACTTTGACCTTTTGACCTCAAAATCAATAGGGGTCTTCCTTCGGCCACAGGGAGTTGTTATGTAAAATTTCATTGCAAAAGCTCAAAGAGTTCTCGAGATATCACGCGGAAACGAAAGTGTTATAAAAGACAGAATTTGCGAATTTTTGACCTTGACCTTTGACTCCTTGACCTAAAAATCAGTAGGGTTCTTCTTTAGTCCATAGGGAGTTGCTATGCTAAATTTCATTGCAAAAGCTCAAAGGGTTCTCGAGACATCGTGTGGAAACGAAAGCGTTACAGACAGACAGAAAGACGGACGGACGGACAGACAAACCCAAATTAATATCCCCCACTTTTCAAGCGGGGGACAAAAATAATTGATGTTGTTTATTTAACGCACTGTGGAAAAATTGTATGTACATTACAAGAGTATTGATTTGACAAATATTTTTGCATGGAATTCATTTTTAATATTTACATTAATCAAAGTACTGAAAGTACTGTTAGACGGAGGCTTCATGGATGAGAGAACACAAAAGAAATATATTTGTCATACATAGCTGTATATATATATATAATATTATGAGGAATAATGTGTTTTTTTTTCCAATTCAACATTTTTTAAAATGATACTCCAATATTCATGAGGTTGTTGGGATATTATAATTTCTTCTTTGTAATGTAAACTTCACCTTGATTAAAGTTCACTGTTATTTAGATCAAATACTTTCAATATTAAACACTTCAACGTAAGAAACAGTAATTGACTAGGCCTGGTTGACATAAAACTTTGACGGGCTCACTTTTTATCTCAGTCTCACTTAAGGAATATATAGTGGAAAAGTGAGACTGAGATCAAAAGTGAGCTTGTCTAAGTTTTATGCCCCCAGGCCCGGTTTGATGAATGTAGGTCTAGTATGTTCTAGTCATGAGCCCACTGGCGGATTTGGAAGGGGCCCCAGGCCCCCTCCCTTTTGAGTCCCAAAAATACACAATATTTGATAAATGAATGTTTTAATTGTGGTTGTGGGCCCCTCCCCTGACCTCAAACTGGTTCCCATTTTTCATAATTTCTGGATTCAGCACTAGGCCTCAGCCAGTCAGGAGTTTCCATATTTCCAGATATCTTATTTATAGGTCACAGAGACCTACTGTTAACATAATTATGACATGTAACAGCTACCAAAATCAAAATTTCTCGGCCTTATTGTAATAATTTTATGATATGAGCCAACATGGAAAAAGAACAAGCCAGATAATTGGACATGAACAACATGATATAGTACAGTTTTTCTTAAACCTTTGTGATACAAAATGGGGTGATCTAGCTTGAAAGCAACACAGAATTTTTTTTTAAAGGCAGAGGTTTTTTTACCGGGTGGTAAATTCCAGGTGAGGGAGGGGCTTATTTTGTACAGGTGTGAATGCCTTGGGGGCTAGCAGTCTACCTGTGGCCATCTGTCTCCTTATCCCTATACACAGGAAGTGATTTAATACACAGTAAAATACCCCAGGTGTCAAACTTTACCTGTGTTGAGGATTTTGAGACAATTTGAAAATTAGTAGTAAAAGGGTTTTTCAATCATATATTGATTTATTTTGACTGTTTGAAAACACCCCTACCCATCTGAAAAAAAATTATTATGATATTATACTCTAAATTCAAATATTAAAACAAAGATAGTTTTAAATGTTAGTGAATCTGTAAATTAAAAAAAAAACTCCTGTAACAACCAAATTAGACTTAATTCATTCATCCCCAGGATCCCATCTTTTAAATGAAAAAAGACTTTAAGAGCCGTGTTAACTACATTTTACTAAAAAAATCCAGATTTATCATAACCTTAATAAAGCTTTGTCACCATGATATGTTTTAAAAAGATTGCTTGTAAATTCTTATTTGATTAAAAAAGGAAATCATATTAAGTGACCCATGATTAGAAACATTATTAGTTCACCTGAGCCGAAGGCTCAAGTGAGCTTTTCTGATCAAAATTTGTCCGTTGTCTGTCGGCGTTGTTGTCGTTTTCGTTGTTGTCGTCGTAAACTTTTCACATTTTCATCTTCTTCTCAAGAACCACTGGGCCAAATTCAACCAAAGTTGGTACAAAGTATCCTTGGGTAAAGGGGATTCAAGTTTGTTCAAATGAAGGGCCAGGCCCTTTTCCAAGGGGGAGATAATTATGAATTGGAGAAAAATTAATGACATTTTTAAAAAATCTTCTTCTCAAGAACCACTGGGCCAGGAAAGATGAAACTCATGTGGAATCATCCTCAGGTAGTGTAGATTCAGGTTTGTTCAAATCATGACCCCCGGGGGTAGGGTGGGGCCAAAATGGCCGATCAAAGTTTTACATAGGAATATATAGAAAAAATCTTAAAAAATCTTCTTCTCAAGAACCACTGGGCCAGGAAAGATTAAACTCCTGTGGGATCATCCTCAGGTAGTGTAGATTCAAGTTTGTTCAAATCATGACCCCCGGGGGTAGGGTGGGGCCAAAATGGTCGATCAAAGTTTTACAAAGGAATATATAGGAAAAATCTTTAAAAATCTTCTTCTCAAGTACCACTGGGCCAGGAAAGATTAAACTCATGTGGAATCATCCTCAGGTAGTGTAAATTCAAGTTTGTTCAAATCATAACATGCAATAAATATTCGTGCCAGAACACAATTTTTTGAGTGGAATAAAATATTATGCTTTCTTACTTTACGTAAACAGAACAATAAAATTCATAAGACTTGCTATTTCACAAGTTGAACTAGAGTATTGCTTACAATAACAAAGATATATCTTGACAAATTTGACAACTAATATTTCTGGAAGTGTTAAATGTAGTATTTTATCATATGACAGATTTAACCCAAAAAATGTCTTTCTTTACTCGTATACCAGTGGAAATGGTTGTCCTTTTCAGTTTATCTGTTTAAAACAATCATTAACAATGAGACATGATTACAAATTATGTAGAGAAAAAGTTATAAATATATAACTATGATTTCTGCTTTTCAGTAACTCTGTTAAAACAATCACTTTACCAATGATGTAGGGTAAAAAAATTGACACGAATACCAATGATAAGAAATACATGTAATCTTGTATATAAAAAAATTATTAAAGTTTGAGATGTGAAAGAGGTAAAACACAAGTATCAAATGCAAATAAGGATAAACGAAATGACAATAAGACAACTTATTTCAGAAGATATAATTTTTAATTATTAATGAGGATATAATGTGATAAATCATGTAAACCCTATGAACCAAGATTTGGGTTGTAACCAAGGGGCAAACGTAACAGATGCATATTGATCTCAATAACAGAGTTGCCGTTTGTTTCTCTCTTATCTTATGTGAGGGTATACGCCAAACACTCAAACCGCTTGTAGAAAGTGTAAATTTATTTTCATGTGTTTCCTAAAATTATACATATCAAATAAACAATTCAAAACTAGACTGTAAATATTCCTAAAGATAAAAATACTATGCATTTGTTTATTCATCGATCCTTGTCAGATTACAAACCTCACAAGAAACCTATTGATGCAAGCGTCAAAAATCGGCCGCAAACCAATTTATCGGTCCTTTCAAGAAGAAATTAGAAAAGGAATGAAAAATGAGATTACAAACAGCAATCAAGCACAAAAAAATTCCATTAAAACTGAAATGCTTGATCTATTATTAAAATATCTTATATTTATCCCTGTGACATAAAACATTTGCATACAACATTGCAGGATTTTCTTCAGTACATAATACAGGTACATTGCATAGTCATCTGCGTCTCCGCACTTAGTTTGATACAGGCGAATTCTGGTGGAAGTTTTTACAATTAAATATAAAACTAAAGTTTAAACTTATCTGTAACTAGAGATAGTTTTTACTTTAATAAAAAAAGCAATTGATAAATGGGGCTCCTCGATCACTCTCCGCGGATGTTAAAACCCCCCAAACTCCCTCTAGATCCGCCACTACATTTCTTCTCGTTCTTGTTTTGGTGTGAGAATCGGTGGGAAAAGGCTCGGCATATTGTAAAACGCGCTTTATCATCGTCTGTTGGAACAAAATCTCCTAATATTCTGTCTGATAAAAAATTAACATTAAATCACTTTTTTTTACATATTCCGTAGGAAATGTATTTATATACACGTCGTTTTAAATATATTCGACAAATCCTGCTTATTTAGAAAAAGTAGAACTGTTTGTTTATACTTGTACGTGACGCGATCTTTGCTTTACACTATGCCTATCCTGGCGGCCGGTGTACCAGTGAAACTCAGAGTCGCTCTAAAAATACAATTCCTAAGGTAATGAAAACAATTCCACCGATAGATGGTGCTTGGTGAATCCTCATTATTTACGTCATGGGCAAGACAATCCCAATACCCGGAGGCTGTCATACAGCCTCCGTCTAAAAATGATTTTCATTCTGTTTTGTCTTTGATTTCTCTTAAGGACAGACGAGACGTTCCTAAATAATAGATAAATTTTTCAAAGATTTTGTCATTGAAATATTGCTATTTAAACATGTTTACTCACAAAAAATTGAGGTACCTTACCAGGCATTTCTGCAAGATGCCAGGGGTAGTTTTCCTTATATAATCCTTTTAGGAAGAAAAATTATTTTCTAATTTCAAATGTTTAAGTGTTTGGATTTTGTAAAAACATTTAGAAACTGCTTTAGAAATTAAAGAACGTTATTAAGATTTTGAATATTTTTCAAACATTACGAAGATATACGAGACAGATATTGAGGAACGTCTCGTCTGACCTTAACCACCCAGCGGGGACCTCGAACACATCTCCAGATGATGTCGAGAAAGAAGTAAAGGAAGATGACCCCTGTCGTCGTTTGAGTTTGTTCATATTTCTGAAGGTTGTTCAGTTTATTATAAATTGTATCTTGGATTTAGTTGGAGTGAAATTTTGAACACTGTGATTGACATCAGATTAAATTATTGCAAACGAATTTAAGTATATACTTTTAATATAAATATCCTATACAAAACTAGTTTCCTTCTCATCCATTGAATACATGTAGGTCAAGAGGTGCTCAACATACAAATGTCTATGATTAATGCTTGTACTTTGGGCAAGAGACAAGAAATTACAATGTAAATGCAAGTGTTGAGCTTGAGCCAATTTAGAAGTGTACCTGGATGCTTCATTATATTTTTGCGGGTATAATGGGTGTGAAGTCAGGAAGTTTGACTTATTTTAAGACTGGGGGCGGAGAAGGAAATATAAGTAAATCAGGTTATTTCCTTGAAAAGTATGTCAATCAATAAGGGACATCAAAATGAAGAATTTCGGAAATTATAAAGAAAATTGTTTTAAAACTCCATAATTACAATTAAACAGAAGCAGATAATTATACTTTTGATTAATTCTTCTAAAGATCTGAATTCTCGTTATTATTGACTCTCTGTGCTTAAACTTTAAAACACAACTGATTTCTTCGTCTGAAATGACGTAATTACTGTGTTATTATCTTGATTTGGCCATATACATGTATATGTATTTACTTTCCAGAGGTCTTTTGTTTATAAACTACCAGGTACATACGAAAATCTAAAGTATGCAAAACAACATAACAAGGACAAGGCGTCAAAAGGTTAAAGGTGCGTTATAATATAACGTCACAAACGTTGAGATCACCTTGCAAGTGCAACGTTATAAGAAAAAAAATCACATGCTTACATTGAACAAAAACTGTGACAAATACTCTTCAATTAATTGTAACTCCACTAAGGGATAATTTGAAACACACTTGAGACAAGGCAACCGGTTAAATAAAATAAATATGGGCATTGAATCATTATTTTTGAAAGATGTAGTTTCATGACTGCAACGGTGTGAGCAATTAATTTTTCATAAAGCGCGTTTATTATCACCCACTGTGGCAGTTTTAAGACTACATCTTTCAAAAAATGATAATTCAATGCATGTAATTTGCTTATAAAGTATGGCAAAGTATGTTAATCTTTGGCATTCAATACACCATATCAAGGATGAGGGTGTCAAATGTAAAGATTTTTTTTTTAACTTCACAAACGTTTATCGCCGTGCACGTCCAACGTCATGAACGAATAAACTTTAATTGGACAGTCTGACGGTGTTATCAGTAGCAATGATTCTTTCATTCATAGTGCAAGGATTTTTTTCAATTGCAGACAGGACAGGGAGTTATACTGTAAAAGATGCCTCAAAACTGAAACGGAGTGTGCAAAGAAATTTTATCGCGCTAACGCGCGTTTCTCAATTTAGTTGCCCATTGCAGCAGTGATCCACATCTTTCAAAAAATAATTATGCTTAATAATATTAAGCTTTAAAACGACGACTGTAAAAAATAAATCATTAGTATGAAAATCTCAATAAAGAACTGTGAAAACTTCCATCACATGTCCAAACCTCAAATCTTGCATTCTTTGTAACCATTGAATGGAAAGAAATTAGGATTTTTGCATGGTATTATTCAATACTTAAAATATGTTAAAGAACTTTATTCATCGTTATAAATGATTGTCGTTACCATATAAAGGCCACATGTGAAGGACTTGGTATGTTTGAAGATGAGGAATGACAGGGGCGGATCCAGCCATTTTTGAAAGGGGGTTCCAAGGTTGTGTCCCTCTAGCCCTCCCCCCCTTTACACACTCTCAAGCAAAGATTCACACACACGTATGGAAAAAATACATGTATAAGATTGTGGAGAATAATATCTTTGTTTTACGTCTTTTTTCTTTGAAAAGGTACCCCCAGTCCGAATAAAAAAAAAGAAACAAACATTTCAAAAACTACCGAAGCCTTAAAATTGAATGGATTTGCAGCGTTTTCGAACACAGGCACCTGACGTTACTTATTTTTCTTTTGATAAAAAAAATTATTATATGATTGAATTATTTCCGTCTCTCTGATTGGCTGAGATCCAACTATGTTAAAAAAATATTACGTTGTATTGACCTGCACGTGACGTTCCAGGTCAATACAAGGATTTATTTCCTCTACATTGATCTAAAAATAGATTGGGAAATTCCAAACTGATACAAATTGTTTTGGATAGCTATTTAAACGACTATGATTCTTATTTTCATGTGAACAAAACATAAGCGAAAATATATTTTAGGTGAGGGTGGTAAGAGGGGATGCAGGAGCCCCCCTTCAACACTTTTACTGAACAACATTAACAGTTTTTTTTCTTTTTGGCAGTCAGTTTTCCCTGATAATACTCCTTCCTTTCAAAATCTCTCCTATATAAAAAAAGACTGACATTATATATTTCTTTCATGGCAACAAAAATTGATTTTAAAAAAACATTTCAAATTGATACGACTGGTAAGGTTAATTCACATTTAAATTCTGCTTCTCTCTTGTATTTGGTTAGGACTTAATAAAATGCAAACAAATAATGAGCTGTATCATTTTATCAGTGAATCATATAATAAAACAATTATTGCTGTTTTTTCGGTCAATACAATAATTTAGCCATCTTCGAAGTTCAATATTCACCTCGCCCTTCGGGCTCGGTGAATATTGTACTCCTCAGATGGCTAAATCATTGTATTGACCTCAAAACCAGCAATAATTGTATAATATACCCTTACCTTATAATAAACCAAGGGTTTATTATAAGGTAAGGGTATATTTTTTTTATTAAAAGAAAAATAAGTACACATGTAACGTCAGGTGCCTGTGTTTTCGAAGAGTACAATGAACTTTCTTTAAGAATTTAAAAACCCTTTTGGGGGTGGGGTTTAAAACAAAGAATTAAATGTTAGTTCCTTTAAAAGATATAATTAAAAAAAACGGTACATACCCGTATATAGCCAACACAGCCAAATGAAGATCGCGGGAATCTTATATCAAATTTAACCTCTCATGTTGCATATCATATATAAAATATATAAAAATCAGTAGAATATGATCTACCATTCACTCATAGAATAATAGTGAGAGTGTATGGAAAAAACTAAATGTGTGAGAATCTATCTGTTCAATACATATTTAAGTAAGACGTACAAATTCTCGGAAAACGTTTTATCCCCCTTCTTTTTCTCTCTTCTTGGCAAAAAATAAAGGGGGGTTCCAACCCCCGGAACCCCCCCCCCCCCTCTGGATCCGCCAATGAATGAATTCATAAACCAACAATCTTGACCTTTCCTTATATCAGTCTATAATTATGATACTTAATTAAATGTTAATAATCTATTAATCAAAATCAGGAAATAATTGTATGTCAGTTTATTTATTGATTCCTGATTCAAGCACCATATTCTTGAAAATCTTAACAATGAAAATACTAATAAAACGTTTTTTTTTTCATATTTATTTTCAACAAAGTGATGTTCATTGGCACAAATAATAGCAATTACATAATAAAGTAACGGAACTTAGTGATAAATGCACTTAATTAGATAAAAATCAAAATATAAACATAAGTTATCATTTAATTACATGTATTTTTTATTTTTATTTTTAGATTACGAAAAATAAACTTGAGCACAATATACAACACAACACTAAACAACCATCAGCAGCTCTGAGAGTTATAAAGGAGATAAAAATAAATAAATACAGGTATTTGAGAGAATCATGAAACCATTTTATGGAATTTCAGGCATAATCAGAGAGCATTTCAAAATGCTAAAATACTTTCATTATAATGACTTAAAAAAACATCACATGAAAGATTTGCATTTAATCAAGTTACAACATACCAATATAATTTGCAGAAAAGAAAAACAAACTCAATCAATATAAATGTAACAATAATGTAACTTCCCCTTTTAAGGAAAATGTGAAATACTCTTTTTCTTCATATCACAATTATTCTGCTACATGTATATGACTTCAATATCATGAATAAATTATGTTTGAATACATTTAATATAAATTATAAATATGCTTTATATTGAAAAATTTCATTAAACATGAATTGTATACATCTAGTCAAAGTACAAGGCATATGTTTAATTGATAATGGGAACATTACAAAACTTAGAAATTTAAACATATAACATAAAAAATCCACCTCACAATATGAAATTTTACATTTCTAGCCATAAACTATTATTTAGTTTAAAAAATAAGAGGAAGCTATAACTTATATCAAGTTTAATTAATGCAATTTCGTATATTTTTTATGAGATTATAGTCTAACAATGAAGCAAACTTTTTATATATTGCTGAAATATAGCACTGGTATATGTTTATAATTTTCTTCTGATCAGTTATTACTGCCATGACAATGTACACATTCACAAAGTTTAACTCCAACATTAATGGTATCATATTTGATCAGATCCAGATTAATACTAACATAAGCCATTCTAAATCCACTCTGATTTAATGAATAGACAACACAATACATGGGTCTTCAGTATGGCACAATTTTTAAATGTAAAGTTTAGGTTATATAAATATTGTAGAGTTCTTAATATCCAAGCAGATAGCTTTGAATTTCTGAACATGCATATACTGTATACAGGGTTATTTTTGCCCCGTGTTATTTTCGCCCTTTTGTACTTGCAAACAGTTTTGCCCCGTTTTAAATTCGCCCAATCAAAGTTCTGTTTAAAAAATTATGCTGTGTAATTTCAATTCGCTCCATCCTAAATTCGCCCATTCAAGAAGAGGGTGAAAGGGGCGAAAATAAAACGGGGGCGAAAATTTCCCTGTGTACAGTAATTTTTCATGTTACTGATATAAAAGTTCATTGGAACATGCAATAAGCAATATGAAATGGATTCAATACAAGTTTGTTCTGATTCATTTAAATAGAGCTGATAATTAAAACAGATATTTTATTAAATACATGTACATTGTATATGTATATATTTCAATTAATGCGTACAATGTAAGAGAAAAAAAAAATTGTTAATTATTATAACTACAATATTAACAGATATTTCCTCCAACACAAAACTCCTACACTTCGAAGGAGTGCCTCAATTAGTTCATGGATCAAATTAAAGTGCAATAATTTAAAATCAAATTTTAAAGCTTAAATCTGGGACAAGGAACATTTTTTAACATTGATGCTCCAAAGTACCTATATTTTATATATACATGCTGTAGATTATTGTATTAGATTGTAATTACATATACATTGTATAACATTATGATCGTACAATGTGAAATGTACACCCTATCAATGAATTCTTATCAGTATTTTTTTTTTTTTAACTCTGTGGATCCAATAATAATAATTTCTCGTTTTCAATCATCAGAAACTTCAGAGTAAGTTGGTAAGCAAACACTTCTAGCATTCAATGTATTTTTCTCCTTCAATCCTCTTCTCAAGGTCAGCAGGGGTCAACGGAGGAACAAAAAATGGGACTTGTTTCCAGCGCTTTTTGGAGACCCCATTGCCAGCACTGTCAATCATATTCAAGTACTCACACTTCAAAATACAGAACTGGGCATTCTTATAGATTGTGATGTTCCCTATTGGATTTCCACACTTTTTACAAAATATTTTCCCAGCTCCACAGCTCATATTTTCATCTTCATAATCTGGAATAGACGCTATGACATTCACATTTTCCAAGATGTCCTCATTGATAGCAGCGTGATGAGCATTCTCAATCTTCTTTATATCAGTTGACATGCAGATGAAGTTTCGACATGATTTGCATGTGATCTTGAACTCCCCTAAATTGGCCTGAGCTGCTTTCCTGTTCTTGAGCGCTATGTCCCTTGCTATCTTTGCCTCGTGCTGGATTTCCCTTACTCTCCTGAGGACTGCATCCTTGTCCCTACTCAGCTCCTCCCTGACACTAGCAATAGCTTTGTTCATCCACGACTCTTTAATCAAGTTCAGCTCGGCCTTTTTTATTGTATTTGTGTCTTCTGAAGCCAGAATAACAAACTTGCTGTCTTCAGCTCTTCCTCTGCCTAAAATTTTTTTGTAATGAATTCAGATCTTATACACATATATCATAATGATATAACTTATTAACAAACTTCCATAATACAAAAATAACAGTGCTTATTTGTACATAAAGATTGTTTTTCCACATTCACATTGAAAACAAAATGAGTTTGCTAAAGACCAAGTTCCTGGTGATATTCAATTCCATTCCTTCAAAATCATAAATAGAGGCCCATGGGCCACAATACTTTCAGGAGTCATCTTGGCTTTGATGTAGTTTAAATAAAAGATTTCTTTGAAAGACATTTCCATCTTTATTTCCAGGAAAAATGTAAATAATTACCTCTTGACTGGACCATGGCTATTTCATTAGTCACATGATCATATCGTACCACCAGACTACATTTCTGTATGTCCAGCCCTTCTTCTGCAACAGAGGTGGCTATGATGACCTTGTGGTTCCCTTCTCGAAACAATCGCAGGATCTCATCCTGTTCCACCTTTGTCATTCCTAGAAGCAAACACAGGCAAATCCACAAGTAAGTTATACACAGGAAGCAGCTGTATGCATCATTTGATTAAGAATTTGTTTTACAATACCGGGTACATTAATAATACAGTATCAAACCCACTTAAATTGAACTCATATCATTTTGACCTTAAATGATAATACTGTGGATCACTAAATTTTCGTGACACCTTATTTTCGTGAGATAGTCATTGACTTTTGATGAGCGAGACAAAATTTTAACGAATTGTGGTAATTGCTCTATATAATCCTAAGAAATATTATAGATTATACATGAAAATTAAATTAAATTGAAAATTAAATACGCACTGTCTTGCGTAATTGCGCGAAAATAAAGTTCTCACAAATAAAAAGTGATATACAGTAGCTTATGTTTGTTCTAACCATTAATTGGCAAACTCAGTGCCTGTAAAGTTTTATCAAATGATACAAATGCCATTATAGTCAAAACGACTATAGTCACTCTAGTACATGTAACTGTTCAGGTAACACATTAAACTTGTTTATAAAGACAACACCATTCAAAATTAACATCTTTGGTAGGGGTGGTGGTGGGGTTAAACTGAATATTATTACATTTACTGAAGGTTATCATGATTTAGCAAAATAAAACTTGATATATGCTTACTCTGCTTTAAAAACTCTTGTTTCTACAATCACACACAGAAGGATGTGCTCTATTAAAGCATGATTTATACCAATTATATGTGCCTTTCTGAAATTGGGCAAATGTCAAGTTATGAAAAGTGTCAGCTAAGCTATAATCATTAACAGGATTGTTTTACATGCAAAACTATTTTATCTTTAGGAAAAGCTCCATGCCTTTATTCTGACCTATTTTGAATTTGTTTTCTAAATTTTGAATACGCCAAAGGCAAATTAAAGATTTTATTCCTTTTCACAAGGAAAAGATTTGCTCCAAGAGCTATCGTGAATATATGTTCAAGTTGAAGATTTGCTCATGAGATTTCCTTTTTGCTATATGGAATATATCTTTTGAAAAAGGAAATAAAATATATGAGTCTTCAAGAAAAAGGATACTTGTCACTCTTGAGACTGGAACATGTGGAGCTTTTCTGGAATATCTGTATTATATTAAGTTTCCTTTGCAATTAACACTAGTTCTGGAGGAGTAGATATGAAAAACTTAACAGTGAAAATTACAACAAAATTTTTTATTAGCAGACATACAATCTAATTACTATATAGGGCCCTCAATTCATATTACAGCAACAGAAAATCTTATTTTCTATGAAGAAGCGATTGCACCCTTAAAGTATCTTACAAACCTCCTTTCTCTTTATTGGCTTGCACCCCAACAAACTGCTTTGGATTGAGATTACGTAATTCATCAGTTTCATTCATAAATGTCTCTATGGCCTTGACTAACTCTTTAGTTTTGACGAACACAATCACTCTGGAGTCCGGATTATCCTTGAAGTAATCCACAATCATGTGTTTCAGGGCCTCAAGTTTAGGGTTTCTGTGCTTAGGGTCTTCAGTGCACTTTTCAAGCAAGTCTTTAGTTTCTGTGTTCAAAGAAAACAAAGAAAACAATGCAATACTTCAGACAATATAGCACAAGAATCCAAACACAGAATTGTGTTCATCATTATTGAAGCATTTTTTGTCCAAGTATTAAAAGCAACAACATGAAGTACATTGTTCAAAGTTTACATAATAATGAAAAAATAAACAAAGGAAAAAATATAAATCAAAATTCTATTCTAATGCAAATATTATACATTTATTTCATGATATTGAGGGAAATATGAAGACTTATTCAGCCAAGAAAGATCATATTCCCCCGGGCTTCGCCCGAGGGGAATATGATGTTTCTTGGCTGAATAAGTCTTCATGTTTCCTGAACATTCATGCAATGAATTGTTTATTATACCGAAACAAGCAAGACTTCTGAAATAAATATAAACTTTCAAATTCGGCACTGCTCTCAAATTCACTTTCATTTTTTATGTAAAGTTACTATACAACCCTTTGGTCAATACATTATCATCAATTTTGTGACGTAAACCAGGCTATTGTGACGTCTACTACTCTCGGGAGTTTTCGTTCAACGAACGAGAACTATATTGCGGGAAAATACACTAGATGTTCCGAAGAGGTGGAATATGATGAAAAGCGTGCCGACAGCCGGGAAATATGAAGTTTTACGGCCCGATCACGTGATAACCTAGAACCAATCAGATAACGCGTTGTGTAGCATTTTTATAATGAGGTATAATAATACACACTATCAAACATCCTCTTCAGTTTCCCCTCAGTTTCATCAGCTTTGACTGTCAGCTCCCATTTCTTGGTTTCTTTCAGGATAAATGACAATGAATCACTTGGCCGGGCATCTTTGTAGACAATCAAAGCCTTGTTATATAACTGTTGGATACAATACAAATTTTTCAAATTGTACATGTAGATCAGTTTAGCAAAATATTATGTCGGTATGTATATATTAATTCAAGATTCACTGATATGTTTTCATGCACTAATAAGAAAAGAGAAAAAAAATCTTTTTCATCTTAAGATTCTTTGTGAATATAATTTAGATAAAATTGGCCCCATAATTCTGGGGGTAGAGGATGGGAAATTGTATGTGTACCTAAATGTATATTTACAAGCATACATGTCAGGCAAAGATGTGTGAAACTCAGGCAAACTATTAGATGACTTACATCAAGATACCTCCGACACGTGTCGTAGAATCGTCCAGCAGCCTGGTCGTTGATTTTAGCCGTCTCTCTCCACAGCATGCTGACCCACTGTGTGTACTGGTCGGAACCCTTCTCCAGGGGAGGCTTTATAACCGCATCTGGAGACTTCACCTGTTCTAGATCTGTCAAAAAGTTTCTTCTCAAGTTCTAATCAAAGCATACAAACTGTGTTATTTAGGTGGTTCAAAATAATTTTTTAGCACCATTAGCTTCATTTGATAAACTTCTCAGGATCTACTCACATTTTGAATTCTTCATGTATTTCTCTATTGTCTCCACTAACTTTTCAAGAAGTGTTCCATAATAGTTCTTTTCTCTTCTCTTCACCTTGTAGAGTTCTACAAAGCATAGTAAGAATTCATTTGTGCATATGATGGGAGGTAATGAAAATCCTGAATCTAGAATTCAAAATACCGTTACATCTGACATGATTTTTCTGGTTCACAAAATCACAAGAGATCCAATGATAATGATTTTAAAAACAAGAGGCCCATGGGCCACATCGCTCACCTGAGAAACTTTGATTTCCCCCTTGTAATACATATTGTGACCCCACCCTACCCCACTAATCATAATTTAGATAATTTGAAATCTACACTACCCCAGGATGCTTCCACATAAGTTTCAGCTTTTCTGGACCAGTGGTTCTTGAGCAGAAGATTTTCAAAGACTTTTCCTATATATTTTTATGTAAGACTTTGATTCCCCATTGTGGCCCTGCCCTACCCCCAGGGGTCATGATTTGAATAATTTAAAATCTACACTACCCTAGGATGCTTCCACATAGGATTCAGCTTTTCTGGCCCAGTGGTTCTTGAGCACAGGATTTTAAAAGATTTTTCATACATTTTTCTATGTAAAACTTTGATTCCCCATTGTGGCCCAGCCCAACACCCAGGGGTCATGATTTGAACAATTTAGAATATGCACTACCCTAGGATGCTTCCACATATGTTTCAGCTTTCCTGGCCCAGTGGTTCTTGAGAAGAAGATTTTTTAATGACCCCACCCTATTTTTGTCTTTTCTTGATTATCTCCCTTTGTGAGGGGACTTGGCCCTTCATTTTAACAATTTAATTTTCCCTTCACCCAAGAATGCTTTGTACCAAGTTCGGTCAAAATTGGCCCAGTGGTTCTTGAGAAGAAGTCAAAAATGTGAAAAGTTTACAGACAGATGGACAGCTAGACAGCTAGATGGACGGACGACGGACAAAATGTGATCAGAAAAGCTCACTTGAGCCTTCGGCTCAGGTGAGCTAAAAATATTGTAGTAATTTTTTTTTGCATAAGAAGGAATTTTTTTCAGCTACAGTGCAGTCGATGACAAATCACAAACAATCAATACCGTTACTTAATTTTTAGCTAGATAATTAATTAATTAGTGATATTACTTTGCTGTGGTATGTTGACATGTTGGGCCAGTTCCCGTTTGTTTTCCGTCACAGTCACAATCATTTCAGCGTCCATGTTTGCCATGACCTTCTCAATGTGTTTTTTAGCCTTCTCCTCATCTGAGGCTTTCCCTACTCCAACAGAGGCAGTCATGCCAACAATCTATAACACAACATATTTACTTATTAAAGGCCTGAGAATTCAACAAAATTTGATGTCTGAGGGTGTATAAGTAAACAATTGAGAAATAATTAACTGTCACTTTTTAACACCTATTCCAATTTGAATTACACTTTATATACTTTGGTTCTGGTGTTTTTGAAAAGATTTTTCTAATACAAACCTGCAGATAGTACTCACGAAACACAGACCATGTATGATTATTTTTTGGAATTTAATAGAGGTACAATGTAAGATTAAAAACTGAGAAGCTGTCTTGAACCTTTTGTTGAATTCTAATAGATGGCACTTCATACATGTACCTAATTCTGTCTTTAAGTAAGAAATTGCACATAATTTGTAGTTTACATAATTATGTCTAAATATTCACAAATGCACTTAGAAAATAGATATCAAAATCAAATACCATTGGTAGATTTTTAGCCTTCTCCTTTTCCTGAAATTTGATGTCCAGGTATTTATTCATGATCATGTTGTAGGAATGGTTGTCGTTGGCATGGTGACATTCATCAAACACCATTAAGGAGAAGTCTGTTACGCTGACAATTCCATCTCGTAGAGCATTCAACAGAATCTGGGCGGTCACCACCAGCAAGTCACGCCTAATTTAGAAAGAAATTTACAAAGTGACTGTCTCAATTTTCCCTCATAAAACTTTGCATTTTAAATTGTACTTTATCAATTCATATACATGTATCTGTATATCTTCATACATTTATATTAGATAGTCTTATATCTTATATCTTTATCAAAAGAAAAAAATTGACTCATTTACCATAATCAAGGTAAAAATTAATGTCAAGTGAATAATGCTGATATTTGCAAACAGATAATCATTCAAGATCAAATTAGAAATTCAGATAATAATGCAGGAAAATGAAATACCAAGCAATTTGTACAATACAAAGAGAATAATCTCTTTTATTCTAACCTTTGTATCCATTCATTCAAAGTCTTCATCCTCTCATTTCTCTGAGTTTCACCGGTAATGACCTTGACTCTATACGGGAGGTAAGTCATACACTGTTTGCCTTGTTGCTCTGCCAGGGCACTTTGTTCCACCAGAAATATCACTTTCGGGTGTCTCACAGATTTTATTTTCTCCATATGGTCCTATTGGAAGAAAATATAGCATAGAAAATTCAGCTTATGATACCGAAAAAATTTCACTTGATGAAACTGAATAAATATTTTGAACTCATGGTAAAATGAACTGGTTGAATACATAAAATACAGAGAATATGATTGATGTAATTATCTTATAATAGATACCTTGATGATATAGAGAGCTACATGTGTTTTCCCACTTCCAGTGGGGGCCACAATGACAGAGTTTTTGCCCTCTAGAGAGGGCCTTGCCAGCTCCATCTGATAACTTCGTAATTTTAACTCCTCTTTAGGATCATTAAGATCGTCATCCTCATCATCTGATTCCTCCAAATTAACACGCTTGTTTATTTCCATCAGACTTCCACTGGAACCTGAGAACATCAGTAACAGACATATTAATGGAAGTTCATCACTCATACATATATATACATCAATCTCTCTCCCTCTCACCTAATTACTGGTATTCATAATTAAGATTCCTATATTTCTCATCAACAACATCTCAACCCCCTATCTTAAAATATACATATTATATATATACTGAAAATCACTTTTTATTCCCATTACTTTATTTTTATGTACTTAAGCAAGCTTGTTTGTATCAATACAGATTATGCCAAACAATTTGAAAATCACTTTTTATTCCCATTACTTTATTTTCATGTACTTAAGCAAGCTTGTTTGTATCAATACAGATTATGCCAAACAATTTTCAGAATATACAAAAATTTCAAATCACTTATAAACACCAACTGACTTTCCTGTGAAAGTTGGATATCATGATGTAAAAAATCTCACCACTGTTGATGATGTTTGGTCGACCTGTAGAAGATTCCACCTCTCTATCCAGACTCTGACAGGCGTTCACTATAGCCATCGAGTCCAAATCTGGACAACTGGCCACCGTGTTGTCGGTGTTTGACTGCAAGCTTCGGTTGTCCACGTTTGACGACAAACTTCTGTTGTCCATGGTGGATGACAAAGATCTGTTGTCAGCCTCATACCCTGCTAGTTTTCTACTGGTTTGTTCAGAATCTTCGTGGATAGATAAAGATTCATCCATGTTTTGAGTCAAGGCTTCAAATTCACTATCCAGGCTTTCTTCCATAGGATTTCCACTCAAATTGTTGACAGACTTCTCAACTTCAAATGTCCCTGTACATGTAAATGATAGAGTTTTATATGATATATATACATGTAACCTTATTGAGTAAAAAATGTTAAAAACTGGCACCAGTGTCTGTAAAAGTTCAAGAAATGATGACTGCAAATTCATACACAATCCTGTCTGAACTTACAAAAATTATCAATTTTAACTTCAGAGCAAAAAGAGTACCCGGTAGTTTTTCATCAATTTTAAATCTAAATCTACTCACACAAGAAATTGAAAAACCAACTCCTAACATTATCTGGTATAATGCTCAAATGTGGGTACATCATCCCCTAAAAATTCTTGACAAATATTTCTTTATTACATACTAGATAGGCTCCTTACTTGAGAGATAGTCCTCCTGTATAGAGTTGGTTTTATCCTGCTCTTGTTTGGTGGGTGACATAGAATTGTGGGATATCTCTCTCTGTAACTCGCGTGATCTTGATTTGTCACCGCTTTGATCAGAATTATCTCTCTGAGACTTTTCAGTGTCCTTGGCATCCTTGTCTTCATCAAAGTCTGAACTAACCAGGTTCTCTTCACCCCCCTGAAGTTTCTGTTGTCTTTCTTCAAAACAATTCAACAAAAATGCATTGGCACATTCATTTTAACAATGAAAAAAATGTTCATCATAATCATGCAATTACAAATTTAAAGTACGAGCTTTATCATAATTTTGTTTTGAGATCTACTGGTCAGGTTTGATTATTTTTTTTCTTTAATTCAATTTGATATTTATAGTTCAATCACCCTAGAACTTTTCAGCTATAGTTTACAATATTTCTTAATAACTTGGAGATAAAATACTTACTCTCAAGAAAAGAGTCATCTATTTCTTTAACAAGATCCTTGTAATCATGTTTGCAAAGAACCTCTAAAAAGATTTGGTACCAATTCTTTTTACACCGCCATATATTATCAATAAGGACAATCGTTGCTGAGGCCTCTCCATTGTTTCGCTCATCAATCATCACAGCATCTTTAATATCCCTGTTGAGAACTCTATTTG